GTGTGTGTGTGTGTGTATGCACGTCCAATTTCACTGGGACAGAAAGACAGAACAGTGTCTTCTTAGGGCATTTTGGAGCTGATCAGCAGGTCAGCTAGTAATGTCCCTCCATTCTTTCCTTGGAAAAAGCTGTTTAAGAAGAGCTTGAACTAATGAGAGAGGCTCCTGTTTTGTTGATGGGCTGATAAACACTGTATTATCAGCCCCTTCTGGCTCCCTCACCTGTCAGGTTTGCAGACAGTATGAAGAAGTAGGGGGAGGGGGATTGGAAAGCTCATCATCAACAGATGCATGCACTGCACACCAGCCCCACCCCACTTTGCCTCAGAGTCCTAGCCTGGGGCTGGGGTCAGGCTACACTCCTGCCCCTTGAGTAGCAAGTGAGGAAAAGCCTGGGACAGTGCAGGCAAGGTGGGGGTTTACACCCCTCTCTAATCACAGCGTCCTGCCAGGCCCTAGCCATGCCCCCCCCCCACCTCCCCTCAGCGCTGTGGAAAGGAGAGAGGGCTGCTCTAGCACCTGCCAGCTTCTAGCCTGAGCCACTGCAGGCATGTGCCTTCATTTCTTCAGGCCAGAGGGAATGTCTATGCAGTTGCAAACTAGTTCAACCTAGTAAGGTTAGACTAACTTGAAAAGACTGAATAAGTTGAATCTTAAAGCATTAAGATGTAGAAGAGCAGGAAGCAATTTCAGACTGTGAATCCCATTCTCACCCATGCACCTAACTCAGGGCTGTAGGTTGATGTCTAACTCTTGGAGAGTCATAATCTCAGATACATCCCCTCTCTTCAACAAAACATTTCCTATTAACTGGCTTAGGAATGTGAGTCACTTTCCTAGGTAACTAATTTCACCCACATACAGGATAGACAGACCTGTGACTAAGTGGATTTCATAATAACTGGTACTCCACAATATGTGGGAGTATGTCTTGGAAAAAAACACTGAGCAAGTGCCATGAGGCCAATGTTATATCACAATCCAGATATACTGTTTTTACAGGTATATGTTTTTGTGTATGCAGCATTTTTAAAACAACATAGAAAACTGTATTTAACCCAGGATCATCTAACTTCTAAGTGTCTGGGACTGCAGTCCCTGCAGCCACACACCACACTGCATGCCACACAAACCACATGCTGTGCCATACAAGCCACCCCACCACATTACATAGGTCCCCAATGTGCCCCACAAGACACCCATACCACTTGGGTGCCCAACACACTGCATGGCCCCACCAGCAGACATGCCACACTACACAGAATCTCTACATGTGCAGACATGATGCATTATCCACTCCTCCCACAACCAGGTGACTCCCACTATGTGGGGGTTCCTCAATTCCCCTCAAGCCTTTTGGCCACAGGATGCCCTAGTTCTGTGGAGCATGTCACTCTACATAACCCCCCAGGGACAGGGTCATCCATCAGAAAATGGAGGAAGGAAGAAGAGCCTAAGAACTCCTGCAGCAGTAACAAATGAGTGAAGGGGATATCAGTGCTCTGACCAAGAGCCCAGGGCTTACAATTTAACCCCTCAGGGACTGCATGTGTTAGACAGCTCTTATTTATCTAACCAAAAAAGTTCATTATCTTTGTTTAGTAGAAATAGGTCAATCTTATAGGAAGCCTTGTAAACAAACAAAGCAGCAAAGACATCATCTGTTATTTCAGGACTGCTTTGTAAGTTTGGACAACCAGAAATGCTAATAATAACTGTACAAGTGACTGCTTCAGGAAGGAGAAGCCAAAATTTTATATCCCATTCTTATTCAGTCTCATTGTTAAATGCATTGGACACTTCTGGCAATTTCCTTAATCGCCAATGTTTCAGGAATCACAAGTTTGTTAACTTGGAAAATCTCTTCAAAAGTGATATTCACATCAGTGTTTGTAGATCATTCTGCATCCATAACAGGTTCCCCAGGCCTATTGCCAATATCATCTGTTCTGGATCGGTTGGCAAGCTGAAACATGCCTTCAGGAAGCAATTACCAATAGTGACAGGAGTGACAGAATTCCAAGCTGTGTACAGAAATTGAACAGTAATTTTCACACAAAAAATCTCTGGATATAATTCTTTTCCATGGCATGCAGAACATAATGCACTATTCTCTTAATATTATTATTTGAATGCATTGGTGATGGCCTGGTTGCACAGCTGAAGCATTCGTGTATTTGAGGGGGCAGCTGAAGCATTCATGTATTTGCTTTGTGGCAGGTAGGTTCTGATTTCAGTATGCGCTGAACAAATGTCAAGAAACAAAAAGACTCCCCTTTTCTTTCATTTATAGTGAAGTGCTGCAAACAGCTCTTTAAACACACTTGTTCTTCATCCATGCACAACTGTTCACTTTCACTTTGCAAGTCACAGAAAGGCTGTTATGTTTTTGAGACAATGAGGATTTTTAGATTTTCCTACACTATTTGTGACCATTTTTACTGCCAATCAAATTGGTACAGACAACAACTGTCAAACCATCCTCCACTTGATTATCGTTGTAACGTTTCTCATTTTTTAAATAGAATGTTCCATCAAGGAGTTTGAAGAATCCATCTATATTGACTATGTCATCAAAGATGTACTCATTAGGGCTGTATGAAACAGCACCATTCTGCTTTGCCAGTTCGAAGAAACAGCGTTCCGTTTCGAATTTCATTTTGATTTGAAACAGCTGTTCTGTTTCATTCCATCTTAACTGAAAGGCTGTTTTGATTCTGTTTTGACATTTCACTGGGGGTGGGAAGTCAGCCCAGCTAGGCTGACTTCCCACCCCAAGTGCTAGATCGCACAGGGGGTGGGGAGTCAGCCCAGCTGAGTTGACTTCCCATCCCTACTGTTAGATCAGGCAGGGAAGCAGAGAGTCAGCCCAACTGGGCTCACTCCCCGCCCCGTGCTGCAATCAGGTGAGGAGGGAAGTCAGCCCAGCTGGGCTCACTTCCCCATCCTCCATGCTGTGAGGGTGCAGGGGCAGAATCAGCCCAACTGGCCTCCCAATTTCAGCACAGGGGGGGAGAAGTGAGCCCAGTTGAGCTGACTCTTCCCCGCCCCCGCACCTGATCACAGTGCGGGGGGAAAGTGAGCCCAGCTGAGACGACTCTCTGCCCCGCACCCGATCGCAGCACGGCGCGGAGGGGAAATGAGCCCAGCTGGGATGATTCTCCCCTCCTCCCACACCCAATCGCAGTGCAGGGGTGGGAAGTGAGCTCAGCTGCGATGACTCTCCCCGCACCCCATACCTGATCGCAGCATGGGGGGTAGGAGACAGTAAGCCCAGCTGGGATGACTCTCTGCCCCGCACCTGATCGCAGCACAGGGCAGGGAAATGAGCCCAGTTGGGCTGACTCTCCTTCCCACACCCGATCGCAGTGCGGCGGGGGGAGAGTGAACCCAACTGGGATGACTCTCTGCCCTGCACCCGATCGCAGTGCGGGGTGGGGAAGTAAGCCCAGTTGGGCTAACTCTTCCTCCCACACCTGATCATAGTGTGTGGGGGGGGGGGAGAGGAGTGAGCCCAGCTGGGATGACTCTCTGGCCCCCATACCCAATCACAGCATGGGGCGGGGAAGTGAGCCCAGTTGAGCTGACTCTCCCTCCCACACCCGATTACAGTACAGGTGGGAGTCAGCCCACCCAGGCTGACTCTGCACCCCCCCTCTTGCCATATCACAGCACCGGGGTGAGGAACTGAACCCAGGCTCAGTTCCCTTCCCCTGCACTATTATTGGCTTCTGGCAGTGGGAGACAGAGAAAGCCAGAGCTGTGCTCCCGGCTCCTGCTGGGAGCACAGGCCTGGTTCTCTCCTGTCTCTCACAGCTGGTTTCGAAGCTCAAAATGTTTCAAAACTTTCAAAACATTTCAGCTAGCCTCATTTTGTCTCAAGGCTGTTTTGAAGCCCTTCATTTCAATTCTATCTCACTGTTTCGAGCTTGAAATTATTCAAAACAGTGTCAAATTGAAACAACCAGCAAAATTTCGCACAGCCCTAGTACTCATCTATGATCATTGGTAACTTTGCAATCTATTTGCCCAACACATTGCAAGTAATACTAACAGTTTCTTGTGTAGAGGCCTTAACTGTAATATTATGATGTTTCTTCAATTGTTGAAAGTAGATATGGGAATATTTCTAATCCAACAGTCCCGCTTCTTCAACCAGCATCTGTACCATTTCTGATAAGAGCATCCCACTTTCCGGAAGAGAAGATGAATGGGTTTGCTTAAACCCCTTTTGTAGTGCTTTCTTCAAGTCCAAGTAGGGGCTAGTTCTCAGTTGTTTGCAACCCATCACAGCTCATTGCAGGGGTTGAGAAATGATATTCATTTGTTATCTGTGCTCTTTTGTCAACTATTCTTAAACCTGTTAATGTATCTATCCCAAGTTCTCAGCAATTTCTTTGCATTTACAGTTATTGTCCACCATTCTCAGAATATCCATTTTTGTATACAAATCTAAGTTGTTTCAAGTACATTTGTTCACCATGTAGATTAACAATATCACCAGAAAAATACTAGTGCCAGAAGATACAATTACTGTACTTCTCCAAGTGCTGGTCTTTTAGCAGGCTTGATTTTGAAACATAAATTTATTAGGAAATAAATTAACCCAGTGGAGATCAGTGAAGTCATTGATATCAAGTATGAATGAAGCATATTCATATTATTATGTATGGGAGTTAACCATTGTTGGTTAATGCTGTGATAACAGGCAGAGTGATAAAAGATATATATATCCCTTAACTCATATTTGTGAGTCATGTTCCAAGAACCCTGCAAATAGAAGTGAGGTATAACAACACTGAGCTTTGCCATACCTTTGTTTCTTTTTTAATCTGGTGCCTCAGTGCCCAAAATCAAAGTTATTTTTTCCTTTTCTTTCTAAACTATATGGAATATTCTAACACAATACACACGACAGTCAAAATACTGCTGTGTATATTACAAAAGTCAAGTATTTTACTCTTCTCCTAAAGAAGTTACCACCACTTTAGGTTCAGATTTCTGCCTTACAAAGTTTTCTGCCCTCCTTAGATGGAGCATCCCAGTATTAAGTCATGAAATAGGATTCAGGACTAGTATATAAAGGATTGTCATTCAATGAATGACAGAAAGGCTTTATTTACTGCAAATATTCACTGTTAAATGAGCTGAAAGCAAAGCAAAGTCCAATATATTTAGCTGTAAAAGTGATAGTATCTCACCAATACAGGCGAAGAGGCAGTTTCAATCTTGTCAGCTTCAAGGTGTGGAGCAGTTCACCAAAAGATCAGCTGAGCACAGTAGCAGTTCTTGTCAGAATGATTTCCTATTCTTGAAGCATGCCATTAGCTGTTTCATTCCTCTTTTATATCCTTTAGCTCAGCATCTTCAAAGCAACTTTTTGTAGTTGTGTAAATCAAGACAGAATCCCAAGCACTAATTAACAGGAAAATCCTGTTAATCAAATTGTTCATTGTTTGTTATCAGAAAGTCTCAATTTTGATTGAATTACCTTCCTCAGTAACAAGAATTTACCAATTTCTACTGAGTTGGAACATATCAAGAAATTGATTAACAACCAGGAAAAAACAAAGTTTTCAGGCGTTGTCCTTGGAAGATCAAGGGAACCATTTAGGCAAAACAAAAGTAAATCAGGAGGAGACACCTATCAAAGCCCATATGGAGACAGTCTCTTCCTACACATAAACACAAGTTAATTGCAAAGAAATATTTACTACACTAATTAATCAAGGATAAACATTTCACACAGTTACACCAGACACCTAGAAGCCTCCTCAAAATCATTATAAATATAGTAAGATAAGCTGGAAGTGATGCCTTATTATTTCTTTTCAGAAGGCCAACCACAAACTTACATCCTCTTGCACTATGCAACTGTCATGAACATTTTGAATTTTAACTTTTATGAGTGGGCCCAGCTCAGCTTGAGTTTCATGATCATCATCACCCAACTATCAAGACAGAAAAGAGTGCTGTGCTGGTGCTCTAGAATTCTGATACAGCTGGCTGGCTTCTATTGCATTATATTGTTAATTCAAGGTCATGTTCAGTCACTGGTAGTGTACTCAAGTGACCTAAAAATGTCTTAAATCCTTCATCCTTGCCTAACTTTACATTAAACATTGAGAATGCTACACTGTCTTTTAATACTCTACATCCAGCTAACAGCATTTTTGGGAAATCACCTTACCTTGTGGATTTGTAGTTTGGTGAATCTTGACAAAACTGTGTCATGTACTGGCAGAAGCAAAGCAAGCCAAGATATTCCATCACATTTCAATTTACTGTTTATATGATACCAGTAAGGAAATCTCATTGGATTAGCATTTCCATATTTAAAACTTGTTTGTTTACAGGAAATAATTTTGATTCTTGCTGCTGTTTTGAACACTGAGATTGGTTCTTTATCCTTGTTCTAGCCCCTCTCTATGGGAATGCCAAATTTTGCTGTTTCCCTCATTGTCTTTACCTTCCATCTGGCCTTCCATCAATCCCTGGTTTGCATTTGCCCTGTCAAACCAAACCACAGGAACCTAGGCCTGCTTTCAACATTTCTCAGATTTAATTTTATCATAATCATCAGACAGGATTAAGAAAACACCAAGTTAGCTTTCCTTAATGTGACAAAGGACCCAGGCATCCTAGTAGTCATAGGAACACCCTAACCCCGAGTACTTGAATTAAGAATATCATGATTAACAGATAAATAAGACAGAAAAATGGGCTTGGAAGCATTTCAAGCACAGATCAGAATAATAGTCTCAGTGTGATTTTGCAAAAACTTGTATTGATGCTTTTGTTTTCCTATTATGTAACCATTCACAGTTAAAACTTATTTAATCTACAGAGAGAGAGAGCTCCGTGCTTGAAAACATTGGCCTTATTTCTGCTGATGTGGGAATACAAAAGCATGATTTTTCTACCCCCACCCCCCAAAAAGAACATATTTTAACCCTTTTCTCAAATGCTTTTTTAAGAATGCAACAGTGCTTCACTGAATATCAAACACTTGAAACAGTGCAATATCAACATCCTCCACATATTTTATGAGAGATTAAATCAGGAGTCAGTCATCTTGAATTTTCCTGATCACATAGGCTAAGTACAGATGTTAAAAACACTGAGGTGGAAGCACTCAGAGTATCACACTTTACTCAAAGCACCCTAGCTTAGGTCGGGAGCAATCAGAACAGATGTTTCCTATTTCATGGGGAGGGATCAGAAGCTGCCTGCACTGGCCAAGACCCACAGCTAGGGTGCATTCTTGCACACCTCCCACATCCCGCAGGCTCCCCAAGCTGCCAGAGACTCCAGAACACAGCCAAATGAGAAACCCGTTCCTGATTAGCTACCTGGTGCAAGAGAGCAGTCAGCAATAGGCCTCACAGGGAATTGCAGATGAGCAGGAATGGAAGGGACCTCCAGTCAAGGCTAAAGATGCCTGGGGGCTGAGTTCCAGGCAAAGGAGCCTGTCTGCTGAATGCTGGGGAGGGGAGGCTGGGCACCAGCATCTCCCCAGCACTGTGATGGGTGCTGGTGGCACCTGTCCCACCTGGCCCTGTCACAGAGGTGCAGGGCAGGATTGCTTTGGACCAGGTTGGACACACACAGATCTCTCTCTCTCTCTCTCTCTCAAACACACACACACAGACCTCCCCCTTCAAGCCTTGCTCCCTACAAAGAACCAGTAGAAGCAGCAGCAAGAATGAGAATGAGAATGAGAATGAGAAAGATAGCTGCTGTTGGCTCCATAGGCATATCTTATTTGGTCTAACTAGCATTGGTAATAACCTAATTGGGTCATTACTTAATTGGCTACATGAAGACAGGCCTCAGGATATAAGACCAATACAACATGAGCTTAACAATAACAGTGTCTTTGAGCACTTCCTAAGCTTGACGATGAGTTTCTGTCCTATTGCTAGTGTAACAGGGAGGCTATTGCCCCTGTTACAAAACATAATTTAGGTAGAACTTACCATGAGTCAGCGATGCGGAGTGCAGGCAGTCATCAAACGGCATCCCACAGCAGGAAATTTGTACCTGGAAAGAAGGCTTTATTAACTGGAAATGGAGAAAGAGAAAGCACTGAAAAAATCATCACCCTCTAACACTGGAAGTGGACAGAGAATGAGAGCAAGCAACCAGGAAGGTTCAGGTAGCCCATGTGGAGGTATGTTGTGGCAGTGCACTTGCAGTGCCTGCCACTTTAAGGGCCGAGTCAAGCAGCCAGCAGGTGGTTGATTGCGGCAGCCATTTTAAAACACTGGCTGCCTATATAAACAAAGCAGTTTGCTGCTGGCAGCCAAAGCAAAAACATTGCCTGGCTGAGCTGCATGGAATATCTACCAGATAGGAACTAGAGGCTCTTGGTCCTGGGCACAACCTAAAACTGCACCCTGCCAGGGAAGGGTGGCCTGGTGGTGCTCCTGGTGGTACAGGAGTCCCCAGGAAATACCAGGCCAGTTACCTCCCTGGTGAAAGGCGAGGAGGGGTGCCTTAATCCCAGATCCCATCTTTGGGTGGGGTTTGGAGGCAGTCGTGGGGCTAGGCACAGCTGCGGCCACCTGAGCCCATGACAGGGCTTGTGAGACCCTGGTGAATGAGTGTACTGGGGCCAGGCATGGCAAATGGAGTGTCACCTGAGCCTACGGGGGTGGTCAAGCCCGAAGTCCTGAAAGAGAGGGCAATGTAGTGAGGTCCAAGGGAAGAGGGTGGAGTTGTGTAGCCATGCACGGACTAGATTTCATAGACATTTGGGCTGGAAGGGACCCCAGAGGATCATCGAGTCCAGCTCCCTGCCCCAGCGGCAGGAAGTCAGCAGGGATCATAGGATCCCAGCAAGATAAGCATCCAAATGTGTCTTGAAGGTGTTCAAAGTGGGTGCTTGACAGGCCTCCAGTGGCAGTCTATTCTAAACCTTGGGGGCTTGGACAGTGAAGAAGTTCTTTCTTATGTCCAGTCTGAATCGGTCACAGTGGAGTTTGTGACCGTTCGATCTTGTCATCCCTTGGAGGGCTCTGGTGAACAGACATTCCCCCAGATCCTGATGAGCACCCCGATAAACTTATAGGTGGCCACCAGATCACCCCTGAGCCTGCGCTTTTCCAAGCTGAATAGCTCCATTGCTCTCAGCCTCTCATCATAAGGTCTGTTTTCCTGACCTCTGATCATGTGCGTGGCTCTCCTCTGCACCCTCTCAAGCTTCTCCACATCCATGGTACAGGGGATACTGTGGTGGGGGTCTACTACAGACCCCCTACCCAGAGTCAAGACCTTGACCAGGAGTTCACCAGGGAATTGGCTGAAGCAACACGGTCCCAGGGTATGGTTGTCATGGGAGAATAACTAGCCAGAAATCTTGTGAGAGGAGCACTCGGCCAAATCCAAGCAGTCACAAAGTCTCTCTCATGTGTGGATGACCTCTGTCGGATGCAGGAAGTCTATGGGCCAACAAGAGGTAAAGCACAACCGGGGATTACCTAATCAGCAACCTAACAATAGAAGGGAAGCTGGGTGACAGTGATCATGAACTGATCACTTTCACCATCTGCCATAAAGCTGGCAAGTCAGTCAGTAATACAGAAGTCCTCGACTTCAGGAAAGCTGACTTTGACAAGCTAGGAGACTTGTCAGAGAGGCCCTAAA